AGATTGACAAATATATTGAAGTTGATTAATTCGCATAATAAATTTGCCAGAACTGCTCTACTGTTTATAGTTTTGTTTCATTTTTTTCTCTTTCATAATCGAGGGAAATTAACTTCTTCAACAACCTGATGCCCTTTCGATTTCCCATGATATTTACAAAAAAGAACCTTACCTGCGGAAAACTGAAACATCAACGGTGATTCCTCTTTCCCCTGGGAATATACGTCAGTTATAAGAACGCACACAAATGTCCTTAAATCAGTTCTTCGTTCGCCGAAATTGTTTATTCATCTTAAAAGTGTGATCATTCGAAATGACACCATCTGAGTTCTCAGTTAAGAACCGGATTTGCTGCAACTATTTTTTTTTTAAATCAACTATTGCTGCAAGAAAAATATTATTGGCACTTATCTATTGTCCGAGACACAATGATGTGTCCCGGACAATATTTTGTCACCGTTTCATCCAAAGAAAATATCATATATTCTTCACATTATAAATATACTTGTGAATTTGTAATTTAAATTTCTTAATGAATATATATATATATATATATATATATATATATATATATATATATATATTCCGTTAGAAAATTCAGACAAACCTATCAATGTTTCACCTAAGCCAGCCTTCCCTGATGATCCGCTTAGGTGAAACCTTGGTAGGTTATTCTGGCTCTCTAATTTTAGATAGGTCTGTTCTACTTACTATTTTAAGCACTTTATTTAATTGTTTTGTGTACTCGTATCGTTTTTTTTTCTTTGGGCCTTGAACTCGTATGCTGGACGATTACTTTCGGCTAACGTACATGTTCTTGGTTCTTTCTTTTTTATACCATTTTTCCCTTTGGTATTGGTTTGATTATTTGCAAATCAAAACACCGAAGGTTTTCCGAAGAAGTGTAGTTTCTTATACCTATAGAATCACTACTAACATATCAATAATAATATATATATATATATATATATATATATATATATATATATATATATATATATATATATGTGTGTGTGTGTGTGTGTGTGTGTGTGTGTTAGAAGAAAATAGGAAAGAACCGTTAGATTAATAATCCAAAGTTCTTTAGTATTTTTTTTTTTTAAAAAATTGTGCTCGATACAACAGTAGAGCCTATATTATAATTACTTTTGTAAATATATTTCTGATATATATGAGAACAATAAAAAACAGAAGCTAAATATCCAGTTTCATTTATAGAATTTCTATAAATGAAATTGAAGTCTTTTTTTTTAGCTTCTTTTTTGAAACATGAGAACTCCTATGTATGATGGTATCATAATTTTTAGTTATATATATATATATATATATATATATATATATATAAAAAATTTAGGAGATTTAACCAGTAAAGAAGACAATATTTATGAATAAAAATGAGACTAAAAACTGAAATTGCTGACGCAAAAAAAAGTGGACTTTATCAAAGCAAAAATACGAAAATAAAAAAAAAAAAATTCATTTTCGTATTTTGCTTTGATAAAGTCCACATCGGACGAAACGCGTCAGCAATTACCAGTTTTCCTATTGTCATTTTTATTCATATATATATATATATATATATATATATATAAATAAAAGAAGAGAGAAACTGCAAAAGTTTTTTGGTTTTAAAGTGGATATTTAAAAAAAAATATTATGGTTTATTTTCCATAGTTTTGATACACGTGTTTCCGGTCTCGGGACCTTCATCAGGCAAAGCGTGGAGATTTCCACATATTATTGTTTTCGACATGTATTTTAATTGTTGTCATAGAATTAAAGTTCCTGGATGTTTTCAAGCCAACACCAATCTTACCATCTTTAAAACGAGAGAGAATTAGAATTGCTAATATTCCCATCTTCTAGAACTTAATGTTACTTCTGTACAGTAGAACATAAAACCTAAATATGCTAACAATGAAACTCTTGACGAATGTTCAGGTGGTGGGAATTGATATATTCTCATCAGCCGACGTTTGCAAGAGAATGAAACCCAGAATTTTGGTGAATTATACTCGTTGTGAAGCGATATTTTATGGTTATATTAAATCATTGTCCAGTGTCTTTGAATTCTCGGCTTCTTTTAGAATCTTAAGCTTTCGAGAATAAAATTTTGAAGAAAATATTGTGGTAAATATAACAAAAACCTTGATCTGTAAATATCAGTGTTTAAATCACAATATCTCTTCGCAGAGGTTTCGTTCTATAGAACATGAAAGATAGAACTAAAGAAAGATTGTAATAAAGAAAACAGAAACAAGTTTAAACTTCAACAGAGATTATTAACGTAACCTTTTCATGTTTAGAAAGATAGAACGTAGACCTGAGGCTACGACGACGTAAAAGTCAAATACGTAAAAACAAAAAAATATTTTCGATTAAAAAAAAACTTAAAAATTCATACAGTATATCAGTAGTGTTCAGTATCTGTCTATATTTCTGAGATGTGGTATTATGTACATTATTTACATTATTCGGACTATTGTCCTCATCTTTGTCGCTATATTTATTACAACGTTTCGACCCTTCAGTATCCGTCTATATTTCTGAGATGAGGTATTATGTACATTATTTACATTATTCGACTATTGTCCTCATCTTTGTCGCTATATTTATTACAACGTTTCGACCCTTCAGTATCCGTCTATATTTTGCTGAGATGAGGTATTATGTACATTATTTACATTATTCGGACTATTGTCCTCATCTTTGTCGCTATATTTATTACAACGTTTCGACCCTTCAGTATCCGTCTATATTTCTGAGATGAGGTATTATGTACATTATTTACATTATTCGGACTATTGTCCTCATCTTTGTCGCTATATTTATTACAACGTTTCGACCCTTCAGTATCCGTCTATATTTCTGAGATGAGGTATTATGTACATTATTTACATTATTCGACTATTGTCCTCATCTTTTGTCGCTATATTTATTACAACGTTTCGACCCTTCAGTATCCGTCTATATTTCTGAGATGAGGTATTATGTGTATATTTTTACATTATTTTAGAATTGTCTAAATATTTCTCATCTATTTATTATTTATTTCATTGCCGTTGTAGCTAAGACGATTATTTACTGGAATTTTCGAACTGAACCCTTTATTTCGCTATTGGACAATTGTGTTTCTGGATTCCAGTGTCATATTTAATGGGTGTCACTTTATCAGTTATATCCTGTTAATTTCCAGTGTCAAGACCCAAAGAGTGTGAGTTCAATACCCGGTTAAAGCAGTGGAGAACTTGGAGGGTGGAATTAACAGGAGATAACTGATAACCGACATCCATTAAACATAGCAGGTGGAACTAGAAACAGTCTACCCCAGTGATCGAAAAAAATTAAATCAGTTGACATTCCAACAACCTGAAGAAGGCAGGACCGTACAACGGCCGAAACGTTGTAATAAATATGGCGACAAAGATGAGGACAATAGTCCGAATAATGTGAGTAATGTATCAGTAGTGTTAGTGAACTAAACATTTCTCTATTAGAATACGAGAAAATGAATTTGATAATATATAAAGAACGCAACTTAAAAATTCAGACTGAAAGATTATCTGAAGTGACAGTGATCCAAACATTTCTCTGTTCGAATATGAGAAAATGAATTTGATTCTATAAAAAGATTAATGCATTAAATTTTCAGACTCAAAAAAAAAATGCCGTCACTAGAGCGATTTATACTTTTAGGTTGGCAAAAATGGGGAAAACATTTTGGTTGTATAAAAATATCATATCTTAATAATTCAGATGGAAACATTCCCGGACATTATATATATCAAAATGTTTTGATGAAGACAATGAAAAACGAGGAAGCCGATTGGAAAAAAAATCATTGTAGTCTAGTAGCTCTACCTTGTGTTAGATAATCAGTTGGATAATTTATTAACTGCACAATGTTAACTAGATTTCAAGACTTACGGCATATGTTCTTCAAAACTTGCCTAATAGTGAATAAGAAATTAGTTTACTGATGGTCAGTCTTATTGCAATGAACGACTAATGCCTTCTGTCTATTCTTTTGCAACACAAAAGGGTTTCTTTACAAAAGAATAGTCAATTCATTACCGGAAATTGCTTGGTAAATGTCAATCTCCTGATATTTAACTCGAAATTAGGTTTATACCTATATTAAAGTTTGACACCCAAAACATACGGTAGGATATCAGTGGCCCAAAACATTGAACTACCGGTAAATAAAGTATATTTAGCTACCCCCCGACGATGGTTGCATGTGGCACGAAGCCGGTTTAACGTGGGTTCTCCGAGCCCGTAGACTCGGCCAAAAATTTTCCCCTTTGAACCCGCATAAACGGGTTCAGGGGCAGTCTACCTCCCTGAACGAGATTCTGCCCTTCGGCGGAGCCTCGTCCTGGTTCCTCTTTGCCCGAATGCAGAGAGTTCGACTGTTTAGCTGGAACAAGTCACAGCTAGGCAAATAAAGTTAGGCTACAGTATAGGATAACCTAAAAATTTATAAAATACCGTATGTATGAGTTACCATAATGTTTTGTTTTAAATTACGTGGTATCAATGCAATATGGTGACATTCAAGTAACCTTTAAAGTAATATTGTACCGAAATTGCACAGTAATTATGCTTTTAAGATATGTGTATATTTAGCAAACTGTCATTATGTATTATTAAACTGCCATTGCCATCCAAGTGTATAGAACACAGTGAGTCCTGTTATTTACCAATAATTGGGGAGGGGGAGAGATACATTCATACCATTCCCAAGGTTATAAGTGATATTCGAACTCGGCTCACTCTTTCCTCAATCCGTGTACCTCCTCTCTCTCTCCCTATCTCTCTCTCTTCCTATCTCTCTCTCTCTCTCTCTCTCTCTATCTATCTATCTATCTATATATATATATATATATTGAAATCTGTCTCTGTCTCTCTCTCTCATATATATATAAGACACGTCAGGCTATATATACTTTAATATTTGTATATATTAAAAGAATGTATAAACATAAAAATGACTTAAA